TTTTTTTTTTGACGTTTCTCCGCAAGTAATCAGTTTGCTATGAAAAAGATAACGAAGTCGAGGCAATGGGAGCCAGAAACTACGATGTCTATGTAGCTGGCTGTTGTTCAGTTCGGATTCATAAATAAACTTAGAGGAAGAAAATTTAAAAAACAAACTTCCCCCTCCTCCTTTTTCCTTTCCTTCCTTTCTCAAAAAAAAATTATATCATATTCATGTGAGCCATCGTTTAACTGTTGCTTTACCTTATTTTTTTGTCATGATAAGTGTTTGTGTGAGTGTTTGCGATATGGTGGATCGTGTAGGGATTTGCAAAAAATTAACTAAAATATGAAAAATTAATTATGAAATGACCATCAAATATTGAAAAAATGACGACAGAATTTATTGAAATTGTTGCAAAAAAAACTTTTTTCTTGATCTTTATTTTCCCATTGCTTTTCTTTGCCAATTCCTTTCTGTCAATCTGAAAGGTATTTGGTGTCCTATTGATTCTATTATTCAGAGGAACTAAAGCTGTCAGCGGGAAAAAAAAAGTAAATAGACATAAAGCCTCGTTGTTTTGATTACTAAACAACAACAACAACAGCAAACATTCAGTGGTATTTGGTGAAAAAATTCATAGAAAATAGCTTAGTTTCTGTTGACTTCAAAGCAACAGCTGATGCTTATGCAACGATGCCGTTCGATAGTATGAAGCACAGAGAAAGTTTATTTTTTTTTATTGTCGGCTATGAAAATTTTAGTCATCGCTAATATAATCTGTCAAAAAAAAACCTGGTCAGTAGCAATAGCTCTGTAAACCTTTTTTCTTTATAAATAGGGGTCATTTTTTTTTTCCCCGATAATCAGTGCTTTTTTCTTTTGCCAGTTATTTTTGTTCAATTTCTGTAAAATAAAAAAGTACTTCCGATATTTGCTAGAAAAATTTTGGTGTGATTAGATAATGGAAACCCTGAATGTATTATCGTCTACAAATATACTATGGGTTCTCCTACAATTAAGCGTCATTTCAGATAAGATTGACTGTCGTTAATATGTTTGTTGCTATCGTTATTATTATATTATTTTTCTTTGGCTTTTATTATACACATGCTAATATTTGCTTAAATTTGAAGAATGTTTTTGAGTTAACTTTTTTGAAAACTGATAAT